GACAAAAGAAATACCAGATCAATCTAAAGAGTCATTCAGGACCTATCCATGTGCTGCTTATAAATAAAGAATCGAGTTCATCTAAGCCCGTGGTCTTTCCTGTTCCCCCACCTGATGACCTCACACAGCCTTCCTCGCAGTCCCTGACTCCAGTGACTCCACAGAAATCCAGCACGGCAACTCAAAACCTGCCTGAGCAACATGTCTCTGAAAGAAGCCAGACTGTGCAGCAGACATCAGCTACAGATATATCTTCAGGTGGGTTCAGAGCCTTTCTGTTGTAAATTACAAAGAGAGAAACATAAATACAGACTGGATATCTCTTATTCTGCCACCAGAAATGTCCCAAGCACTTTGGACATTTTGGAATATTTGCATATACATAATAACATATCTTGGGGATAGGACCCAAGTCTAAACACAATATTCATTTGTTTCATGTATACCTTATACACAGCCTGAAGGTCAGGCTATACAAAATTCTTTGTAATTTTGTACATCAGACAAAGTTTCTATTAAGTACTTAAGTGTGGAATTATTCACATAGCCTGAAGATTATTTTATACAATAGTTTTAATTTTTGTATGAAATAAAGTGTTGACTGTGGCCTGACTGCAGCCTATCACAAGGTCAGGTGCAGAATTTTCCATTTGTGGCATATATAGGGATGTAAGCTTTTATCTGACGATTACTTGATAAGGCTCTTTCATCGCTTGGTAAGTCTAGGATAAATTAGTGAAACATGTTCCAACTACCTTTAAGAAAATTCAAACTAGTATAGACCACAGTGACTTACACCTCCTGCTTCTCCATATTCTGTTATACTTTCTATTTGGGAAGCTCAGTTTTATAGAAGTGATAAATGGTCCCAACTCCAATTACACTGGAAATCTTGCTTTCCTCAATTGTTTCATCTATGAAACTATAAAAAAGCTAAAGCCCTTCACACTGGATATCAGGAGTAGAGAGCACAACTCTTAATTCAGCAATACCTTACTGATTCCAAATAAAGGGAGCATGGTAGGTAATCTCTCAGTGACTACTGAATGAATGAATTGTGCCAATATAAATATCATATTGCAGATAATTTAGAACTATATTGTGTATAATCCAAATTGTTTATTTTACCTCCGGGATGTGTCTCATTGCTAAAATGGGAGTTCACAAGTTAAAAGGGACACTAACGAGATCTAACTGGACATGGAGTTTTTTAGCTTCTTTTTGCCCACATCTACTCCTTTCCTTCCCCTGTAAATATGTCTATACTATAGGCCATTGGGATGCACAATAGAAAACGTAGTCCTAGCTGGGTGCGGTGGCTCACACCTGTAATCCCAGCACTTAGGGAAGCCAAGGCAGGTGGAATACCTGAGGTCAGGGGTTTGAGACAAGCCTGGCCAACATATAGTGAAGTCCCGTCTCTACTAAAAAATTAGCTGGGTATGGTGGTGCATGCCTGTGGTCCCAGCTACTTGGGAAACTGAGGCAGAATTACTTTACCCAGGAGGTGGAGGTTGCAGTGAGCTGAGATAGCGTCACTGTACTCCAGCCTGGGTGACAAAGTAAGACTCTGGTCTCTCAAAAAAAAAAAGAAAATTTAGTCCTTAAAAGCTTATAATCTAATTAGAATGTAAAGCAGGCATGCTTTACATCATTCAGCTTAGTCACAATTAATACATTGGCTTCAACAAGTATTTTTAAAAAGTGAGCATTAAGATTATATGGTTTCATATTTGGAAATCCTAACTAAGGTAAGTAATTTGGGGCTACAGTAGAGCGGGCCTTGAATTTCAAGGTAGTTAAGACATTTATCCAATAAACCAGTGAAGATCTGTGACCAAGGAAACAGCGCAATTAGCTATAATGGTGTGTACAGTAGTAATATAATTAGGAAAGATGCTTATTGCCCTGGGAAACAGAAATCAAAGGCAATGGATATTGTAGATGTTTGCAGTTATGTATTTGAGAGAACATTAGAGCTAAAACAAGGGCCAAGTGTGGTGGGGCTAATACCTGTAATCCCAGCACTTTGGGAAGCCGAAGAAGGTAGATGGTTAGACCCCAGGAATTTGAGACTAACCTGGGCAACACACCTATCATTAAAAAATTAAAAATTAGCTAGGCATTGTGACATGTGCCTGTGGTCCCAGCTACTAGGGAGGCCAAGGTGGGAGGACTGACCTGGGAGGTCAAGGCTGCATTAAGCCACAAAAGCATTACCGCACTCCAGCCTGACTGACAGAGCGAGATCTTATCTCAATAAAAGAGGCTAAAACAGTGATTACAGTGGGATTGGGAAGAGAAATAATGAACAGATTAGACAAACACTGTTAGGCAAAATAACATTGATATGTAAGATCTAGAGATAAAGTTAACAGGAGGAATGGAAAGTGACACTGTCTTAAGGTTGAGTAACTGGGAGAATTATGAAACTACTGACTGTAAAACTGAGTCAGTTTTGGTAGAACGATGATGAGTCTTTTTTTTTTTTTTTTTTTTTTTTGATAAGTTCTCACTTTGTCTGCTAGGCTGGAGTGCAATGGTGCGATCTCAGCTTGCTGCAGCCTCAACCTCCTGGACTCAAGTGATCCGCCCACCTCAGTCCCCCAAGTAGCTGGGACTATAGGCATGTGCCACCACACCCATTGTTTTGTATTTTTTTGTAAAGATGGGTTTTGCCATATTGCCCAGGCTGGTCTGGAACTCCTGAGTTCAAGCGATCGGTCCGCCTCACTCAGCCTCCCTCCCAAAATGCTAGATTACAAGCATGAGCCACCACACCTGGCAGATAATGAGTTTTTTGGTCTTCGTCTTCAGTTTGGAAGTTTACAAGTAATGCCAGGCACAGAATAGGTGCTCATGAAAACAATCTATCCACAAAGAACTCGTAAATATGCATCTCACTCAAGCTGCTGCAGTGACTACTTGTATTTAAATATAAATACCTTTTACTGTTAACATAAATGTAACACAACCTTATCATATTACTGTTTCCAGCAGGATCTATTACTGGAGATATCATTGATGAGTTAATGTCTTCTGATGGTAAGTAGGTTAAAATTTTACTAACTCATTCATCAGTAATGCTTTTGTGGAATTTATAAACATGATTGAAAAGAAATGAACATATATTTGCCAACTGCTTTACTATGAAGATTCATGAAAATTCTCCCTTAATACTTATAGTAAGTAATAGGCATCCTTTAGAATTTATTTTTATTTGCTTGCATTTTGAGGAAAAGGAATCCATATGGGGATGCTTCTCAACTTCATTGAAAATAAACTGTTGGTACTGTAGCCCTTTCCACTCCTGAAGGATCTGGTCCAAGAAGAGTAAAATAACTTGTCTAAATCAGCAGGTGATCTGAATACCTGCTTTTGTAAATAACCCTACCCTGGCCAATTTCAAGCTGCCAATATGAAGTCACAGAATTAGTATTAACATTAACCACATTGTCTTCTAACCTGAAAAATTCTGAAATATCAGTTAGCTACAATATGCAAATTACTTTAGTAATTTCTCTCCTTCTGTAAGTTCTTGGATCAGAGTCCTGGTTCCTAACAAACACAGTAGAAACCTACCAAGTGTAGCAGATAAGTTAGCAAATGTTATAGTATCTAAAGGTATAGTAAACATATATGTAGAAGCAGAGAACATCAGCACACTTTGTAAGCCCAGTTCATTCTTCTGTTTGCAAAGTGGCAAACAAAACACTTTCATTAGTGTTTTTTGTTTTTTTGAGGCGAAGTCTTCCTCTGTCACCCAGGCTGCAGTGCAGTGGCGTGATCTCAGCTCACTGCAACCTCCACCTCCTGGGTTTGAGTAATTCTCCTGCCTCAGCCTCCCAAGTAGCTGAGATTACAGGCGCCCACCACCTCACCTGACTACTTTTTGTATTTTTAGTAGAAATGGAGTATCACCAGTTGGCCAGGCTGGTCTCGAACTCCTGGCCTCAAGTGATCCGCCTGCCTCGGCCTCCCAAAGTGTTGGGATTACAGGTGTGAGCCACTGCACCTAGCCTCATTAATGCTTTTTAGTCACATTATCTTAGTGACAAGTTCAACCAATGAAAAATTTGACTTCTATTTCTCAATCTAATATCAATAATCAATGTATCAATTGTTACTAAATGAGAATCTTTCAAAATACACATTACACAAGTCTTTAATTTGGAATGATGTATGTGATACTATTCTGTTAAAGATCATTAACCATATATAGAAACCATCTTTAACACTGAATTTTTTTGTTTGCAGTGTTTCCTCTCTTAAGGCTTTCTCCTACCCCGGCAGATGACTACAACTTTAATTTAGATGATAATGAAGGAGTTTGTGATCTGTTTGATGTCCAGATACTAAATTATTAGATTCCATGGAAACTTGGGACTGTTATCTACCTCTAACTGTGTAACATTTTAGATTTCTTAATAACCTAAGTATTTAAAATAATGAATGTAACACCTTTTTAGTTCACTGATTCTGAAGTGTTCTTCCCTAATACTTTCTTTACTTCACAAAACTTAAAAAAACAAAGGGCTCTGATTGCTTTAGGGGATAAGTGATTTAATATCCGCAAACCTCCCCACTCCCAAAAGTAACTATGTTCTGGATTTCAACTTTTCTTCTAATTGTGAATCCTTCTGTTTTTTCTTCTTACAAGAGGAAAGTTAAAGGACACTACAGGTCATCAAAAACAAGTTGGCCAAGGGCTCATTACTTGTTTGTCTTATATTTTTACTGCCACGAAACTGCCTGTATTTCTGTATGTCCTTCTATCCAAACAGATATTCACTGCCACTTGTAAAGTGAAGGATGTAAACGAGGATATGTAACTGTTTCAGTGAACAGATTTTGTGAAGTGCCTTCTGTTTTAGCACTTTAAGTTTATCACGTTTTGTTGACTTCTGACATTCCACTTTCCTAGGTTACAGGAAAGATCTGTTTATGTAGTTTGTTTTTAAAATGTGCCAATGCCTGTATATTAACAAGATTTTTAAAAATAAAATTGTATAAAACATTTAATTTATTGGTCTTTGTGGGGAATCACTACTGTTTTACAACTGAGCCATTAATTTTGTAGCTTCATCAACATTAACTGGTTTGCTTTCATGACGCTGCTGAGGAATCTGAAAGGAGAAAGACTGTATTTAAAAATGCAGACAACAAGCAAAATGACTTACATAATCTGTTAGCCAATTTTTCTAGTCATACCTTTGGAAGTAGAACAATTAATCTGTATATTCAGACAATGTTTTAGAGACTGGATATGCTATTTACACTATAGAGCCAAGTATATTAGAGAGCCAAGTACTACTAAAAATTACACTCAACTTACAAGCTTTGAAAATTTATTAGATTTCAATTTGCTAGCCATAAAAAAAAGCAAATGATTTCTGCTTACCAGTTCTTTCTGCAGAGGTTCAAGTGAAAGACCTTTTGAGAAATGTGCAAGTTCCTTTTGTACATCTACAAAAGCTTTATTTACTCTGTTAATTTTTTCTTCATTCATAATGTTTATCTTTTAAAAAAGAAAAAAATTAATCGATGATCTCAAAACATTAAAGATAAGACACATTCAACCTTAACCCTGTTAAATCTAAAATCTAAAAACTCTTACCAAGAAATTAGAGATAATTCACTCTAAAATCCTTATAGACTTATTGGGAAATTTTAGACAAAAGGTTTTGTTTTTTAAAAAATGGGATTTATGTGGATATGCCTTGCACTTCCTGGTACAGAAGGCCAAAATATGTGACTGTGATATTGTGATTCATATTAAGGGGTGGGTGGGTGGCTGGGTGGGTGTGTGTGTGGTGTGTGTGTGTGTGTGTGTGTGTGTGTGTGTCTTCATCCTCATTTTCTGTCAAACAGCTTTTTAAATCATTCTATCAAGAGGGATAAGAGTGTCTTTTGAATGCTAATGAGAATGTCTGGTAGCTGGGAGTCTCTAGAAAGCTTCAGGATGATGGCTGATCAGATAAAAAACACAGGGTTGGAGGATTGGGACTTTCTGCTCCAGGGAGAGGAGGGGGGATAAAAGTTAAGCCCAACACTAATGGCCAATGATGTAATGAATTATGCCTACATAATGAAGCCTCCGTAAATCTACAAAAGAACTGGGTTCAAAGAGCTTCTGGATAGCTGAACACATGGAGGTTCCTAGAGAGTGGAATGTGCAGAGAGCAGGGAAGCTCCATGCTCCTTTCCATGTACCTTGTCCTCTGCAACTCTTCCATCTGGCTATGCATCTGCCTCCTTTGTAATATCCTTTATAATAAAATAAACTGGTAAAAGTATTTTCCTGGGTTCTGTGAGCTGCTCTAGCAAACTGATTGAACCCAAGGAGGGGATCACAGGAACCCTTATTTATAGGTGGTTGGTGAGACGAAGAGGTAAAACATCTGGGGCTTGCGATTGTCACTGGAAGTCGGGGAGAGGCTTAGGACTCAACTCTCAACCTGTGGAATCTGATGCTATCTCCAGGTCTGCAGTGTCAGATTTGAAATAAAACACCCAACTGCTGCCTGCTGAAAATTCACGTGCAGAATTGTTAGGTGTGGGTGAAACCCCCCACAAATCTGGTATCAGAAGTGTTGCGTGACTGTAGGAGAGTGAGAGTAAGAGAAACTGAGTTTGTTTTTTCCTGTATCCTTACAGTGACCAAAATCTTTCTAGGCTATAGTGATGTCATCCCTCATCCATACAAGAAATCTGGATCAAATACTTTTAGTGCCTTCTAACATAAGTACATCTCTGAATCCTTCCATGACCTTCTCGTCATAATGGAAGTCCCCTGACAACAGCTTCCCTTTCAGTCCTCCTCTTTTGAGTGTAACAGGTAGGGGTGGTGCTCCTGTTCTTCACTGCTGCTGCCAAACAATTTCTCCTTCAAAACCCTTACCTCGGCTGGGTACAGTGGCTCACGCCTATAATCCCAGCACCTTGGGAAGCCAAGGTGGCTGGATTGCCTGAATTCAGGAGTTTCAGACCAGTCTAGCCAACATGGTGAAACGCTGTCTCTACTAAAAATACAAAAATATTAGCAGGCATGGTGGTATGCACCTGTAATCCCAATTACTTGGGAGGCTGAGGCAGGGGAATTGCTTAAACCAGGGAGGTGGAGGTTGCAGTGAGCTGAGTTTGCGCCACTGCACTCCAGACTGGGTGACAGAGTGAGACTCCGTCTCAAAAAACAAACAAAAAAAATCCTTACCTCCTTTTTATGCTGCCTACCCACAGATCTCTCTCTTGTACCTCCTGTCCAAATAAAATAATATTCCTCAAACACACCAAGCTTTTCCCTAGATCAGGGCTTCTGCACTTGCTATTTTCTCTGCCTTGAATATACTACTCCCAATACTTCCTCGCTCTTTGCATTGCTAGCTCTTTACCATTCTAGTCTTGGTTTCCATGTCAACTATGAAGACCATCCTATGTAAAATGTCATCCCCAAAACTCCCATCACTTGATTTCATCCTTAGCATTTATAAAATAATCAAACTGTTCAAATAAAAGCTTAACTCAGCTAGCTCATGAAAGTTGAAAGATAAAATGTGAGATTTCTATAGTCTATTATAATTAAACTGAGTTCTGGAGAGCTGATTCCACCTACTACTGAAACTTGAAAACATTTTCTTAAAGATTTTTCTTAAAAGAATCTGGTTAATCTTGATGAAGAGATTTCTCAAGTATTTTGAAATATAAACAAAGAAAAAAAAGAAAACTTCAAATTGTGCATTTCAATAAATATTTTAAATCTTCATTTTACAGGTTTTTATCTGAACTGCACATGTCTTCAGAGAGATAAGAATTACTGAGGAGAAAAAGAATAGGTGCTCACTGACATCCCATGTCTAGCCTCTATTAATATATTCTTATATTTGAGTTCAAAGATAAGAACTGTTTCCCGTACTATGGTTTTTAAATGAGTTCTATGCCAGTAAAACTATTAAATTGAAGCTTCACACATTTGTAGTTAAAATGTTTTTTTCTTTTCAACATTTGTTTTCACGAAAGGGGATTATTTTTTTGTTTTGTTTTAGACAAATGCTTGAAACCAACCTTACCTTTCTAGGAAAAACTAAGAACCTTTTTAAAAAGTAATAGCATACAGTTGTTCAGTAGCTTACAATGACACTTTACTTGTAAACAATGCAGTCAGAATGCTTAACTAATACTTACCTTCTTAAGATTAGTGGTAACTGGTTTTGCTTTGTTTTTAGCCTTAAAGTTTTTTTGGCTGGCTATGTGAAATACATTCCTGGACTTCGGCCCTCTTAATTTGTTTTTGGCCATTGTCTAGAAAAGAAAAGAAATACAATCAAATTGCCCACATTTATGAACCGTAAGTCAATTTTAAGTTTTTAAAGGTACCAATTAAATCTAAGAAATTCCATCTTACTATTGATTATTTGTAAAGTTGATGCTTATGTTATTTCTATGTTTTTCGCTCCTACAAGATTTTCTGCTCTTTGAGTACAGAGTATGTATCTAATTCTTCTCTGTATCCCCAGTACCTGGCCCCTAGGAGGCATCCAATTAATATCCGCTGGTTGAATTCATTAATATCATCAACACAATAACTGTTATTCTCAGCAGTACCTCACCCCCCAACCCTCTACATACTACTATGCTATTCTGGTTCCTATCATTCTTTAGAGACTGATCTGTCTCCTTCTTGACTTCTCTTGTATTCCTTTTTACTCTTCCCACTTTCTCTCCTGTGCATCCCATCAAAATCAGTCCTTAATCCTTCAGTACCTACCTTCCTCTCTCCCTCTTAAATTATTTTTATGACTTCCATATTAGCTCTATGTGAATGGCTCTTGCCTTGAAATGTTGGATATTGTCTTTGCTACGTAGCTAGAGATGCATTAAGCCAGTAAATTCTACCTTAAAACCTCTCTCAAATCTGCCTTTAAAAATGTATATGAGGAATAATTTTTAAAATATTTCCTTTGTAAGAAGTACTATTATCCCCATCTTAGAGATTCAAATTAAAAAACTGATGCAAAGAGAACTTAATTTGCCCAGTGTCACACTGTCAATAGCCAGGAGATGCCAGGACTAACAGCCAGGCAGACTAGATCAGAGATAATGTTATATGGCATTGTACCTCATGTATAATTATAAAAGCTATACAAAAACATGGTATAGTATTGCTTAGTTGAGGAATGGGTTAGGGCTGAAGTCCCTAAGTTCATTTGTTCAGACCACTGTTTGTCAAACTATGCCCATGGACCAAGCACCTGTCCTTGTAAGTAAAGTTTAACTGGAGGCCAAGCACGGGTGCAGTGGCTCACACCTATAATCCCGGTGAGGAAGGAGACCCAGGCATCTGGGATTACCTCCCCACTCTGTCTTCTGTACTGCATTTCAATAGAAGAAAAGGCTGGCCCGCGGGCACCTCCTGACTTCACCCTCCTGTAAACATGCTTGGTACTGAGGAAACTCTCCGAAAGACACTGTTTTTACTTAAAACAAGATCAAACCCCCACCCCACTCCTCCATCCAGAGACCAAACATTTTCACATGCGATTCCTAAAACTGTAAACCCGAAACCCTTTCATACGTGATTCCTAAAACTGTAAACTCGAAACCTTTTCACTGTAAACCAGAAATCTTTTCACATGTAATTCCTAAAACTGTAAACCCGAAACTCTTTCATATATGATTTCTAAGGCTGTAAGCCTAAGGTTCTTCCACGTGTAATATCTAGAGTATAAGCCTTATATAAAGGCAGAGCCTCCCTTTGTTAGAGGAGCTGAGTTTGGACAAATTATCCCTTGTGGCTCCCGGCCATAATAATTAACTCCTTCCATTACCATTTGGTGTTTGAGGGCTCTGTTTCTTGCAGCTGCTCCTGCAACACCAGCACTTTGGGAGGTGGATTGCTTCAGCTCAGGGGTTTGAGACCAGTCTCGCTATCATGGCAAAACCTTGTCTCTACTAAAAATACAAAAATTAGCTGGGCGTGGTGGCACACACCTGTGATCCCAGTTACTTAGGAGGCTGAGGCAGGAGAATTGCTTGAACCTGGAGGGCAGAGGTTACAGTGAGCCAAGATCGCACTACTGAATTCTAGCCTGAGTGATAGAGTGAGTCTGTGTCAATTAATTAAATTAATTAAAAAATAAAGTTTAATTGGAATACAGTTATGTCCATTCAATCATGTGCTGCTATGGCTGCTTTCCTGCTACAACTGTGACCCACAATGTCCAAAATATTTACTGCCTGGCCTTTTACAGAAAGTCTGCCAACTCCTGGCTTAAGCCATCTGCACAGTGGCTAACTGGCACCAAGATATCTATGCCATTGACCTTCCCAAAGTTAAAAACATTCAACAGCTCTCCCGCATAAGGGGCAACATTCCTTGGCCTGGCATATTACTGGCACGCTGAATCTATCCTAAATCTGCCAAACATATCTCTTGCTATGCCTCTATAAACACTGCTCTAGCCAGCCTGGTCTAACTATTCTCTTGCACAAACACCTTGAACATTCTTCCTTTTTTTCCTTTGCTCAGTCATAGACTTGACTTCATACCCTTGGCTACATTGTGAACAGTTAAGGAACTACTTAAAAGAAACAGCAATGCTTCTGAACCTCAACAGTATTCCTCCTACTTAAAGAATGCAGAAAATACGTGATTATTAAAGAAGACACAAAAAACAAAATACACATAATAAAACTCCTCAAATTAAGTAATCCAAAATCATTCCAGGCCGGGCGCAGTGGCTCATGCCTGTTAATCTCAGCACTTTGGGAGGCCGAGGCGGGTGGATCACTTGAGGTCAGGAGTTCGAGACTAGCCTGGTCAACATGAAACCCCATCTCCACTAAAAAAATTAAAATTACATGGGAGTGGTGACACGCGCCTGTAATCCCAGCTACTCGGGAGGCTGAGGCACGAGGAGGCAGAGGCTGCGGTGAGCTGAGATCGCGCCACTGCACTCCAGCCTGGGCGACAGAGTGAGGCTCAGTCTCAAAAATAAATAAATAAACATTAAAATAAAATCATTGCGATAGTAACCAAAATCCAATCACTCATCTAGCATATATTAATCAATTGCTACATGCTAGGTGTGGTAGAGAACTTATATTTAATACATAAAAAATATATATGGAGCATACAAAATGACAAGATATATACGGAACATACGCAGACAAGATCAGTATTATACTGAACATGACACTACTATACACACGGACCATGCGCAGGCAGCACACAGTGGAGTTTACTAGAGCTGGAGACCTAAGCAAGTTTCGTGGATAAAGTAACACACTAGCGGGGGTGTGGGAGGGGAGGGAAATTCTCTGACAACCACGTGGAAACTGATCATGAAGGACACAGCCCATAACTGGGACTCCGTCAAGAGATGAGGGCCCAACAGGCACCCGGGTTGCGGGCCTGCTACCCTGTAGGGCTACCTGAGGCAGAGCGCGACCAAACCGACACAAGGTCTGCCCAAGCTAACCCCGACCCCTACAAACTTCCCGCCAGCCTTCCAGGAAACTTATTAAACTCTCACTAGGAATTCAATACTTGCGTGCAGCTTCTTAAGCTCCAGGTGACGCCATCTGGCACGTACGGCGTCCAGGAAGTTCGGGGGAGAATGAACCAGTCAGGATTCCGCTCACGAGCCGTAGCCCCGCCCACAAAGCGTAGTTCCGGTCCACCGAGCGGCGTTTCTGCTCCCCGCCCTCCCAGGAGTCCCGCCCACAGACCGGGTTCCCACCCACCTGGCATAGTGCCGCCCACAGAGCCAACTCTACAGAGCAAGGTGAGGTAAAAGAGCGAAGCCTCGCCCGTAGAGCCCGGTCGGAAGTTCAGTCTCATTAGCATTCCCTGTCTTCCGCGGTGTTGCAGGTCTGTCCTGAGCTGAAGCGAGCTTGGGGCCTTATAGACCCAGCCAAGTGTCGCCTTCCCGGCATGGGTACTTCTGCAGAAACTTCCCGAGGTGCTTCTGAGACTGCACAGTGAAGACAGTCGCACTGGAGGTCAGCTCTCCGTCCCGGACTACCGGCTGTCTCTGCCACGCTCCCAGGCGGGGGTGCTGTGCACCTCTGGGTGGTTTCCAGGGCTCAGCTGGCGGTAGAGGGAACCTTGAGGTTGGAAAAGGTGTAAAGGTATAATCTCCGAAAGGAAGATTTGTAATGAGCTGTGAGATAGAAATGCTTTTCTCATTGCAGCTTCCTTATTTCAAAAAGAGAATGTTTGACAGCATTGCAAAGGCACAGGAAACCAGGCACAGTATAAAATATACAAATAAAACAGGTACCAAGGAGCTTAAAACATTCAACCCATAACGTCGTCTAGGTTTTTATGTTTTAAGAAACATTCAACCCATAACGTCTTCTAGGTTTTTCTGTTTTAAGAAAATTAACTCAGTTCTTCCAAGAGAATAATCCTATAAAAACTAAGTTTTCACGTGTCTCTTTTTGTTGAGGTCATAAGAAAAGCTGGATTGCAAACAAATGTAGATGGTTAGAATTAAAGATGAGAGAAACACGAAGGATGACTCTTCAGTCAACAAGGACAGGTTTATTTTAAATAAACCTGAGAGGGGCGGCTGGCCGACTTAGGTCAGAGCCACACCCTTCCAGACTAAGAGTTTTTAAGGATTCAGGGTGGGAGAGTTTATCAGAGGCTTGGACTGCTTCTGTGCCTCTTCCTTGTGCTTATCTGGGAGGGAGAGTTGCGTGTCTGTTCCCATACATCTTTCTGCAGTTGCAAGCATATTCCCTGAGTCTGCTTTTAGCTTCCCTATCTTAGTGTACCTGAAGGGAAAGGAATGTGCCCACGGTTTTACTGGGGCCCATTGTGTGAGGGTGAAGTTTGGCAGTTACCTAAGAGACTTTCCCCCCTGCTTCCTACTGTGCCTGAGCTGTCTTATCTGTTTTACTGTCTGCTTGTAGTTAGAAGTGATTTACTTGAAATGCATGAGGCTAGAAAGGAAGCTGAAACTTAAAGCCGCGGTGTTTGAGATGACAGTGCTCCTGCTCTGTCAGTAGAACTGACATTTATATGCGATTTTGCAGCTTACACAAGATTTCAGTCTACACTATGCTCTAGGTACCAAAATAAGGTGATAAAACCACTCCTCTTTTGCAAGTGATGATACTACTAAGATTCAGAACGAGTTTAAGTGATTTGCCGGCAGCCACACAACAAACTAGTAATTGACAAAGCCAGACATTTTTGTAAAGCTAAGCATTTTTTAAAACAATTTTTAAAAAGTTTTTGTAAACTTAGCAATTCACATATCCACATTGGTTAGCACTTAGTCAAGTCCTCTTTCCAACAAACCAGCCACTTACCTACTTACAGAAAGATAAGCAATTTTTGCAATAAATCATTTTACTATGTTTATGCCCATCACACACAAAAAAATTAAGGAACACAATAGACTAAGGGGAAAGGAATATAAATTGCTTGCCAATGTATACTTATGCAAACTTTTGTGTTCTTTCTAAAGATCCACCTGTTAAAAACACCTTAAAATGCTGGTATAGAATGCCCATAAAGTGTTACAGAGTTATTCACAAATACTGAGGCAAATAAGTCAGGTATAATTATTTGATTCTTTGAATGTGAGGTTATTGATGTATATACAGAAGCCAAAGAAATAGATGTAATAGAATGGCATTACAGTGTTTATGAAAACTGGTAGGTCTCACTTTTATTTTGAAGTGGTGAAATAACATGGTTATTAAGGCAAGAGCAGAGGTCTGAGTGAGGAGGCCCTGGTTTTTGGTTTGCCTCTCCCACCAGCCAACAATATGACCTTGGAAAAATTACTTCATTTCTCTGTGCCTCCTTTTCCCATATGCATGTAGATGGTCATTATATCCACTTGAGAGAACATTGATTATCTGCTCAGCATTCCTTTCTGTATAGCCACTCTTCTCCCATCAAGTGGTCCTCCTCAAGGATTTTCCAGCTAAAGGGAGTGGAAAATGCTGTCTCTTGCATTTGGTATCTTTGTGCTGGGATGATATAAAATCAAGGTTCCTGGTGGCCATCTCCTCCAGCAACTTGGAGGAAGCCTTCCTACAATGAGAGCAACACACACAAGAAAACAGAACTGAACAGAGAAGAAAACTCTTATGTGATCATTTGAGTCCTTGGATGCAGCCATAGATAGAAGAAAGATCCATCCCTGTACTTCCTGAGCTAAAATACTGCTTTATTTGAGCTTAAACTACTTTGGGTTGTTTCTATTTTATTTTTTTATTAGTGACTTTTACCTGAAAGGGTCTTGACTCCTGTCCTACCTACTTAATAGGATTATTGTGCAAAGTTAGTGAAATATAAAACATGAAAGCATAAGGTATTATTAAAACAAAAGAAAGGATCCTGTTAATTTCTAAGAACCATGTTTACCCATGTACCAAATGAACCATACATAAAGAAAATAGCTTAAATATTTTTCATCTTAAAAATATATGCAAAAATTAAATTTCCAGTTTTTCTAACAATCTTAAAGATGAATAAAATCGTAAATAGGAAAAAAATCTTTCGGAAACCTTAGTTTTCCTGGGATAGACTCAGCAGTGCAGAGTTCTTTATACAAACCTGAACCTCAAACAATTGTCTTGGAAGCGATTCAACAAGTAAAGATAATTAAGGAGAAGAAGAAAATGAGAGCACACATAAATTACAAACCACCTATAACAAAACTCATAGTCCTCTAAGAGAACAGAGCCAGCCTTGTATAGATGGTACTCCATAATAAATTTCTTTCATCTATTCAACCTCCGTTGCTACAAGATTTCATTCAATTAAAAGAGTTTGGACACCTAGGCTCTGTGGAAGCTCAAAGGAAGTACATAACACATTTCTATCTTTCAGAGACGGCACAATTGTCTGGATTGTAAATGCACAGGGAACAATGATTCTTGACAGAAAGTGGTAAGAACAATGATAAATGCACAAAATATGCTATTTATGGGCAGAGATAATTCTAAATTCTGGAAACATTCATGTTAAAAGCTCTCATTTCATTGTCTCAGAGCAGAAATAGCAGACTTCAGCCCAAAGGCTAGATCCAGCCCACTACTTATTTTTGTATAGCCCATGAGCTAAGAAAATGAACTTATATCTTAAGATGGGGAGAAACTCAACATAAGAATGATACATAGCAACACATACATATTCTATTAAATTCATGTTTCAGTGTCCACAAAGTGTCACTGCAGCACAGCCATGCTCATTTGTTTACATCTTATCTGGCTGCTGTCATGGTATAATGGTAGTGCCGAGTACTTGGGAAAGAAACTGCATAGCCCGCAAAGCCTAAAACATTTACTACCTGAGCCTTTACCAATTTAATTTTTTTTAACAGAGTCTCACTCTGTCACCTAGGCTGGAGTGCAATGGTGCAAACACTGCTCACTGCAGCCTCTACCCCCTGGGCTCATATGATCCTCCCACAACCGCCCAAGTAGCTGGAACTACAGGTGCACACCACCATGCTTGGCTAATTTTTGTATTTTTTGTAGACATGGTTTTGCCATGTTGCCCAGGCTGGCCTTGAATTCCTACGCTCATGCGATCCACTCCTTGGCATCCCAGATTCTGGGGTTACAGGCATAAGCCACTGCACCCAGCCACCAATTTAAAACTTTAAACCTTTGCCAACCCCTATATTAGAGTTGAGCAGCGTGGTGGTATTATTCAGAATATTGCTGTTTTATACTCAAATACATAGGCAGTTAAAAGAATTTTCATCCCAGCATTCAAGAAGGTAGAAAAGGCTTAATGTCATGAGTTTGGGTTCCCTTCAATCTAATGGTTATCAATAATTTTCATTCTTCTGGGCTAAAAACGGAAGCTTCCAGTTATGTAGAAGATATTTCTACCTGGATCTTCTTAGGAAGTAGAAACGGGAAATGGCTTAACCCTAGGGGAGAAGATAACACTGGAGAAATTACTGGGGAAAGGCAGTTAAGGGCTTTCTACAAGTGCTTGAGACTATTCCTGTGGCACCCCGTACCACAGCACTGGGAGCAGTAGCATAAAATCTTGCACCAATAAATGTCACAGAAGGGATGGAGCTTTCTGCTTTTAAATATAATCTGGACTTTGTCATTGAGCATCTCAGCAGCCACTGTGACAAATTGAAGACCAGAGAAAGTTTCCTATTTTCTGGGCGCTGGGTAAGCCACTCACTTCCATATACTTGAGACTGAGATCAAATTTTTATGCCAAATTAAGAAGTAAAAGTAGGAGTCAGGTTTAATTTGATCTATAATTTTAGTTTTATGATGTTTCTAACACACTTATACTCAAGCACTGAAGTGTTATGATGATCCTTTTTTTGGAGACAGGGTCTTCCTCTGTCACACAGGCTTACTGCAACCTCTGCATCCTGGGCTCAGGTGATCCTCCTACCCCTCCTCCTGTGCAGCTTGGATTACAGGCATGTGCTACTATGCCCAGCTAATTTTGTTTATTTTTTGCAGAGATGAGGTCTTACTATATTGCTCAGGCTGGCCTGGAACTCCTGGGTTCAAGCAGTCCTCCTGCCTTGACCTCTCAATATGCTGGAATTACAGGTGGAAGCCATCATGCCCCACCATGATGTTTCTTAAACTCAAGCATTTTAACTGGCAAAAGTGGAGCTATAAAGCATTCTAGATATACATACATATATCTGCATA